CACGCAAATGCATTAGGGCTTTTTATATCTGCACCATGAATATGCAACTTTAGCGACGGTCACTCAAGAAAAATTTGCATTTTTCCTACCGAAATTGCTGTTTGGCATGAGCGGTGAAAAACAACAAGAATAAAAAAAGAGTGTGGCCTCAACTGGTGGCTCATTAAAATGCCTTTGAGTCGCCAAAGTCAAGTTGCTAATGGTGCGCCCTCAAACGCATGAAAAGCCGGTGAAAGTTGCTAATGCGTTGGCCCGTCAAAAGCTTGCCACGAATTTTCCTCTTCGCAAGTCTAAGTAAAGGAGTGACCAAAGTCAGCGATTCGCACGACTGAGCGCCAACAAAATTACATTGGCCATAAAAAGTACAGCGAAAAACGGAGTGTGTGTCTTTGTTAACTGCTGCATTTAGCGGCTATTAAAATGTTGTACGTTGCCAGCCACAAATAATGAGCACATACCAAAAAACTTGACAGCTCTTAAAAACAGGGAAATTAGCAAGAACAAAAAATGATTTAATAGTTAAGAGCTGAATACATACGATTAGATTAAATTTGATTCGTGTTGACTTCTTTGCAAAACGAATTCTTTGTTCTAAAAACACTTTTGAAAATGAACAAAAAATTTTAGATAATTCATTACAATTAAAAAATAATTTATTAATAATAAAAATAAAAAATAAAAACTTATTTTCTGTTATATGGCATCACTAAAGTATTATGTTGCAATATGATTTAAATAAATCTGTGTGCACTAAGGTAAGTTAGGATTAAACAGCCTTAAGGCTAAGCATTTTTAATATTCCTAAAATATTTTTAGCTTTCTTACACCGCAATACTGTTCTTAAATCACTGAAAAAGTAATAAGTTCTGCTACTTTTCAAAGCGCTATCTTTATTAATAAAATTGCATTGCCAGTTGGGAGCTTTTAGCCCGCAAAGGGATTGCAGCAAGATGGTCTGTAATACCTCCCCTGGGAACAATTCGTCTTGTCTTTCCCGCCCTGTCGTTTCCCCCCGCCTAATAATGCCTAATGAAACGCGTCCTGGCCGAAAAGCGAAAAGAAGTTTGGCCGTTTAGCATAGGACCACCCACATTTTCCCCACCCGCCCATTTTCCAGGGAAAAGCCCTACAAGCCAGGAGACAAGCTGAACTAAGGCGAGGACAATAACGACAGCGACAAGGACAACGGAGTTGCAAGGATGCAAGGATGCAACCGCCCAGTGACAATAATTTAATTTAATGTGTTTGCATGCAGCGACAACAAGAACAAGAACAACCTTAACCACCGAGGAGGATGCCGTTCTGGGGACCCAAGATAACTCACAATTTGTGGCCGCTGCAACTCGCGACTTGCAACGCACATCTTGCAACGCGGCAACCAAAGGCGAAATTTATGGCTCCTTCCGTTCGAGATTCCCTCTGGCAATTTGGATGGGGCGGGAAAGTCATGCTGAAATTATTAGTGTAAACATTTTGCATTTAATTAATAATGCGAACAGCCAAGCCGCGCTGACAGCCGTGGCCACAAAAGTATGCACCGAAATGCGGCCAACTTTGTTGCCAGCAATGCGATAATAATGAGGCATCGACTGAAGAGAAGTGGAGAAAAAAGATTTAAATTAATTTATTGGAGTTCATTGCTCATTACACAGTCAGAGATTACTTATTCAAATGTACAAGTCAATTTTTGAATAACTAAATCAGATATGCTAATAGTATTGTAAAGTCAAGGATCTTTAGCACAAAAAAATATATTATACTTAAATCACTCAAAATATATATCTATTTTATATATAAAAGTAAAAAATATTTTATAAATAATTTTATGCTGCTAAAAACTTGACAAAAACTAACGTTCTCTAAGTTTCCCAGGATAAAATAAGTCAAAATATATTTTAAAATTTTAAATCAAATTATATAGCAGTGCTAAATATTTTACAAATTCATTTTTGGTACTGAAAATTTGTGAAAAGCTAAAGCTATTTAAGTTTCACAAAACACAATAAGTCAAAATTTATTAAAAAAATGTTTAATCAAATTATAAAGCAGTAATTAATATTATATTTATTAGATTTTGGTACTAAAAATGTTGTGAAAAGCTACCGCTCTTTAAGATTCCCAGAACAAGCCTACTCCAACGAGAAGCCAATCGCCAGCGGCCTAAATAGCCATAATCCCTAGCTCCCAGCTCGGCTTTTATCTCGCCTTTCCTCGCCTGTGGGAAGGCATAAATTGTCTGGACATTTTCTAGACATCATAATATAAGGCCTAATAAATATGCGACAACAACAAACGAATGGAAATCAAATTAAGCTTTGGAAGTGAAAGGCGAGGCAGAAGCAACCTAAAGACGCAGATTGTTGTAAATTGAAACGAGGCTGGGAGTGGTAAAACTAGGGAGCTCGAATGCGATGTAATGAGCATAAAAATGCTAACAGAACCACAGAGGAAAAACGGTGAGGGGGTTGTGAGTAGGTGCCAAGACGACCGTAAATCTTTTTGTGGCGCTTTCAAGGTAAAATAACAATTTAAGTTTATTACTCGGATAAGAGACAACAGTAAGAAAAACTCCCCCATGTTGAAAAAAAAAACTGGGAAAAAGGAGACACAGCACTGACCACTGAGGGGCTGCTGGGCAACTGGGCTGCTGGGAAAACCCCCGCACAAATCTATGATATATGACAGAGAGAAATGTGCGTCAGTTGCCAGGACAGCTGTGAGGATTTGTTCGTCCTTACTTTCAGCTTTTATTCCATTTGGCGCACACACAAAAAGTTGCAGAGGGCGGAAAATAAAGCAATAAGGACGATACTGGGGCGGGAAAATGTTGAGGAAGTCACCGAGTCGCTCTTTTATGTAGATTGTCACAGTTGTTGCTTGCTCTTATTTCGTGGTAACTTTTTTTTACAAATCTCCAAGATTTTCTTTTATGACGGCACCATACAAAATTAACAGGCCAACTACCAAAGCAAGTTGGCCCAAACAAATACAAAGTGGAAGATAGAGTAAGTTTCCATTTGGGGTGTACCAAAACTGCAGCCAAAAGTAAGTCTGCATCGGCTGCTTAAGGATGAAAAGGTTTCCATATGACTGCCTGGATAATTATTTTGACAAGCTTGTCGCCTTCAGTCTTATTTTATTGCCCTCCGCTTATAAATCATCATGGCTTTCATCAGATTTACTTCATAAAATGATGGGAAAATTAAAGTATATGCTTTTAGGATGTATTATAAATACCGGATAATAAAAAACTCTCTTTATACATTAAACCATTTATACCATACCATTTATGAGTATTATTTTAGAGCATTAACTTATTTCCAATTTTTAAAGTCTTGTAAATTCTTCCACGGAACGAACATACCCGGCGCTTTTGGCCGTATGGGGTATACAAATTTTAAAATAATTCACTGGCAATATTTCTTGCCGTGTAGACTGGAGACACCTGTGCGTTGGCCATCACCTTTTTGGCCAGCTCCGAATTGAGTGGAGTGGAGTGAACTGAAGGACATTGGTGTGGGCCAAACATGTGCGCCACTTAATGGCCAAAAGCAGTGGAAGGAAGTGGAGCGGCAGACGGCTTGACTGCCGGCCACTGGAAGGTCCTGCCACTTTGACAGAGTGCTCCATGGACACGGAGCACACCAGATTCTCCCCTCTTCCGCTCCGCTGACAAATCACAATTCGATTGTCTCTACGTGTCACTTACAGGACACGGGGGCTGCATTTAGGCAGCGTCCTTCCATTATACAATCAAGGTGCCACCTCCCAATTTTTCCCGCCACCTTCCCCACATTCCCCCGCCTTCCTCGGGCAAACAAAGCAGTTAATGGCTTGCAAGCTGAAACAACGCCTGTGTGTGTGTGCGGGGGTGTCTGTGGGTTTTGGCCTGCTCCACTGATTCGCCAGGGCCTTATATCAGTTTTAATGTCCTGGTTTTTGGCCACTGCCCGCCGCCATGGTTGCCATCCGTGTGGTTTAATTAGCGCTGTCTGCCAGTCAACCATGTGGACAAATTTGTACATTGGCCACCGTTGAGCGTTTAGGCCAGCTTTTCATTTGCCCAGCAAACCGATGGTCGAAGTTCGGGTTTCGAGTTCATTGATTGCCCTTCAAGGCAGCTGTGATTAGGGATTTTGTGCTATACGGTTTGTCGTTAAAAAAATTTCTAAAAAAAAATTTAATTAGAAGAGTAGTTTTTATTTTTTTGTTTAATTAAAATAAGAAATAAAAAGATTATCCTCACAATTATATGGATTTATACATTATTTAAACTTCTTAATAAGATGCGGAATGTATAACAAAACGCCAAAGGATGTTCCAATATTAGATACTCCAGTTAGTCAAAATAGGTGTCTACACTAAGAGAACTCTGAGGGTATCATCTAAGTTTCAAATATTCTTAAAAAAGGACAACATTCTTTAAGTTCAAAATGTTCTCAATGAGCTTGAATCAAGTTAAATTGGCGGTACTTAGATTGCATATCTCAACAACTAAACTATTAGAGTCATACTTATCAAAAAGTTATTAAATAAACTCAATTTACTCATCTCAACTTTTCTCCTCTTACCATTTTTTTTGTGAGAATTGAGCTAAAAATGTTTACACGGTTTTTAAGACCAAACGGTTCTCAATTCAAGAACAATATATCTCTCTGTGTGCATTTTTAAAAATGTCCTGTAACAACACACATATTTTTAGTATTTAAGCCAAGCCATTAAAAAAGTAAACAAAGTCTAGTCGAAAGCTTGGGAAAGCTCTCTCCCTGTAAAGGTCCTTTTCAGCCCGCTGAATGAGGACTCCAAGCTCTGGAAATTTCTCTTCCTTGAACCACTTTCTCTTAGGCCAAAAGCTTGCCCCAGAAAGCTCTGGCAGGGATGCTGTAATGGCAGAAGTTCGCTGCCAACATCCTCGGATCTCTGCCGTCACTCCGGCGAGCCTCGTTCGCTCCTCGACTTCTTCGTCCTGGCCTCGTCGGTTTCGGCCTGATGTTGTAGTAGGTCCTGCCACCGTCGAAAGGCTGGCTAGTTAACCACGGCGTTTCAGTCAAGCTCCAGCATCCGTTCACTGAGGCGGCCCGATGCTGCCAGGCTCTGCGTTAAAAATCCCCGAGACGAGCAGCGCGTTCGGTCGGTTGTCTGTGTGTGTCAGTGGGTGAACAGTGCGTATGAGCGATTTTCGGTGGCACCAAAAGGGGGCCCAAAACGAACCGGTGGACCTTAAAGTTGCTGGGTAAACAACCAAAAGTCGGTTACGCGTGGCGAGTACCGGGTTACGGATTGAACAAACAAGGCCAAGAGCGAATGGAAAGTGCACAAGCTGGAAGGAAAAATCCTTAAGAACTGCCTGAAGTAATTCAGAAAAACCTTTGCCAAAATGTAAGCACAGCTAAATTGTGTTCCCCAAAAAATACCTATAATATCATATTACTTTCCCTCCTAAAATCAGAAAACAAATGTATTCTAAAAATAAATAAAAACCCCACATAAAATCTTAAACCTTAAAAATATATTTATTTTGTCTTCTGAAAACACCACAAACAAGACAAAATTACAAACTCAATAAACTTAAATAAATACAAAATATATTCAAGGAAAAGTTTTGCTCAAGACATCTGCCCTCTCTAAATTATTATTAAAATGCCGGATCACCAAATCAAACAGAACATGTACAGAATAAATAAAATGTTTCAAACCCATAACTTTTTTCAAAAACAACCGACCTATACCCCACAAAACCAAGGCCAGAAATAAACAACAGTAAACAAAATTTAAATAAAGCAAAGAAAAAGTAACATTTCTAACAACTCACAGTTACGAATTTTGGCCGAAAACTTTCCGGTCTCTGGTGCAGGATTTTATTGATAAATTGTGAAGAATCTCTCCCCGGTATCGAGTTTCGTTCGATTTTCAAGTAACCGAATAGTTGGCATAGTTTTTGCTCTAAATGCCGAGCGAAGGCCGTAAAAACATATTGGCAACATTTCAAACTCTCCAAAGTTCTTTTACCTTTGGCCCAGTGAAGGACCCAAAACAACAGCACACAAACTGGCAAACAAACAAACAAACAGACTGGCAAACAAAAACCATTTCGCCCAATAAATCATTGAGAAAAGCAGCAACAGCAGCAGGAAAACTTGTGAAGAAGATGAAACTTTTTTGGTTTATATATTTTTGTAAACGGGAATGTGAGCTGCAAAAGTTGAGGAAGTCATAGGAATTAGTTTTGGAATATGGCCGGACAATCTGACATTTGAGCAATGTTGTTTGAGTAACGAGATGGATTTTCATGGCAAACTATTTACAGAAAAATTTGCATCGATTTTTGTGTGCCTGTGCTGTGTAACTGATGTGCATTCGGGATTGCTTAGGTTTCTTAGGGAACGGAAACTTAATTTTTTTTTTGGCCAATCTCCAGGGATAAATCAAGTCGCAGGTTCGTTTACCTAATCGCAACACATTCGCAAAGCCATCAGGCCCGAAATCACAAAGTGGCCAGCGGACAGTAGACGCCCTGCAGGATATTTGAACTGGCCTGTGAAAATTCTCGGCCAGCGTCTCTCTCTCATCAACTTAAATTGTGGGAAATTAATCAAGTTGAAAAGGTTTCTTCTGGTCCTCTGGCCTGGGAAGACGCCACAAAAGATTGAGCCTCGGGTTTCTGGGGCGGTTCGGTCTGCCCTTTGTTTTCTGTTATTGTTATGGCCTCCAAAGTCTGGCTCTGACTCACAAGACAAGTCAACATGCGAAGGGCGAACCTTTTTTGCTGCTGCCCAAAAACCTTTGCTTTGCATTCAAGCGGAAATTAAAGCAACTGCACAGTGAGAAAGTCCTTGAATTTATGAGATTCAGATACATAAATGAGGGTTTCTAAGAATTATAGATGTTTCAAAATTTTACAATGACATTTTTAAGGCACCAAAGTTATTGGAGCATATATTTCCTTAAAAGTAAAGTAAAGAAAATTTGATTGTGAAAAGAAAATCTAATCATTTTAAATAAACTATTGCTATTTTTATAAATTTATGTGGAAAAATTCCATAGTTTTCACTTTAAGTGTCAGCTCTGAAATTGAGCCCTCAAACTGGATCCCAAATTGATATGTGTTTTTTTTATGTGTGCTTTACAAGGCAGTGAAAGCAAAAGGCCGTTGGGCGATTTTCCCCACTCTGCTCAAATTGAAATTGTGTTCCTCGAAGCCTGGAGCCATCAGCCCATATATATACACAATCACACACACACACTCAGCAAAAGGACACGTGTAACACTTTCTGCAAAGAGAAAAAGGACTTTAAAGCGATCCTTAAACGCCGGGCAGAGTTTCAGTTTTTTCGCCTTTCTGGGTCAACGCCTGGTTGACATTTTAGCCCGGGCGCAGAGTTCATGGAAACCCTTTTTTAATTAATACAGTCTGTGCTGCAGCAGCAGCAGCAGCAGCACCCCTCTCCAGTGGAAACCTCATTAAAATGCGTTCGAAAATGAGACCGCAGACTGTGAACATTTTGTGTTTGTGCAGCTCTTTGGCAGCGAAGGCCTTAAAGCGCGAAATCATAAAACGACAGTTGATGAATTTTTATTGTCCGTACTTTTTTATGGACGCCCACAGCCCTCCACCGGCCCTCAGGTATTTAATATAATTTAATTAATTAGCGAGCTCGAAAATATGTCACCGGCTCTGAAAGGCTAATGAAATATGGTGGCTCATTAGCAGAACCGTCAGAGCGAAAAGCCCAATAGCCGATTCAAGTATATCCTGATTATGAGTAGGCGGATTGTGTGTGTGTCTGTGTGTGCGAGATGCAGCTCTTCAAGTGAGCATTTCTCATAAATAAGCCAAACATAAGCCCTTTAAAACACATATCCGAATGCCTTTCCACAACCCGATTGACTGGGAAATTATAATTTGATTGAGACTTAACCGAAACTAATTGCCAGCAGTTTGACTGTGATACTGAAATGTTATTCATCAATAAATTCATTGGAACAAAGCCCACAAATTGATTTATTTGCGCACAATATTACCTTGTTTGGCTTGAATATTTCCAAGCAAATATTGAATTTAAGCACAACGCATTCGGTTTAATCCCCATTACGTTTTACGCTTTACGTTTTTCCAGGCCATAAAGGAACACAAGTGCATATAATATATTTGCGTCGCGCAATTTCCAAATAAACCATTTACGTTTTGCGTTGGTAAAATACCATCAAAAATAAATGAAGCATAAATGCCAAGAGCACACGCAGAAAAAAAAAATTGTCGAGACTAAGGAATTTGAAGGGGCGAAGTGATTTAATTTTTCTGTAATTTTCTTTATGGTTCCTTTTTTTTTATTTTTTTGAAAATCTCCAAACGACAAACAACGAGGCAATATGGGGCAATTTCTGGGGGGAGAGTAAATAGGTTTTTCGAGGAATTAGAAACACGAAGCGCCATTTGGCGGCAAAAATAACCGGAAGGAATTATAGCAGGCCTCTCCTGCCGTCTCTTTCACTCACCAAGCACACCGTCTCTTTCTAACGCGATGAGGAAATTAAATGTTTTACTGTCTGCGGTGCGAGATGAGAACACAATTATAATTTCATGCAGGCGACAGCAGGAAGAAAATACTTGGAATAAAATCAGCGAAAATGGAAAACATTTTCCCCCATTTTTTTGCGGGTGTGTGGGTGTTGCATTTTGGTTTTGTGAAAATGTTTCCATACACATTCTGGCAATGTCCCGTTAAGAGGATCAGTGGAAAAGGCGGTGGAACGTGGGGGGAAAATGGCGGGAAAAGTGTGAGAAACTCAAACTGAAAAGCGGAAGCGTGGAAATTAAGTAATATGCGAGGCGCAAAGCGCTTTGAATTAAATTAAAAAGGAAATGAAATGGCTATTAAGTGTAGGCGGATCTGGACTATAAAGAAATAAATGCTCTTTTGACAATTTAAATAGTGTTTCAAGTTATTTTTAACCGGAAAGTGTTTATACAATTGCTTTTTTCTGAAGATATTAATAACGAACACTTTTTTGGTTTAAAATAAATCTATTATATATTTTTTACTTTACTCCCACATTATTTGAAAAGCTGCTAAGGTTTATCAAATGTACTCCCTTAAGTTTCCAAAAGGTCTGAATAATATAACAGAGGATTTTTTAAATAACATTTTCTGGCAATGAAAATTCTAGAAAAGTTTCTAACCAACACTTTACTTAAATTGACATACCAAATAAATTGTACTAATTTAATTCTTATTTCTTTTCTCTTCCCATTTTCATGGTCCTTTGCCACACCACAACAGAAGCATCAACATCAACCGGAAATCAACTAAATTGTCGTCACTCCAATCAAGTGGAAATTTGATTAAAAAATAGGAGAGCGGGAAGGCCGAAGGAAAAGAACTGAAGGGAGAAAAGAGGAAAATTTGATAAATTCGACAGAAGGCAATAGACGAGCGCGGAAGGAAAATAGAGTGCGGGTCTATCAAAAGGTAGCACCGAAGGAAATCAACACGCACGCACATGAACGAGTTTGTTGCACGGGCACGGCAAAACATTAAAAATCAGCGGAGCGTAAAACTTACACAAAGCTCGGAAAAAAAAGAAATCCAGAATCCCACGTGGACAAAAGAGAACGAAAAAAAACACAAAGCTGCACTAAAAATAAAAATATAAACACAAATACAACAGAGTAACGAAGTGAAAGAACAATTTTTAGTGGAGAAAAAATTAAAAGATTTCACTAAGCCAGAAGAAAAAGAACGGGGAAAGGCGAACAACAAGGACGAACCAGCTGACGGCCAGGACATATAAACGTCTTTCCTCTCCTTTGGGCTAGAGCACGAAATTAAGTGCAGATTATCAGAAGATTATATTTTAATAGCATTTCAAGCTGTTTCCTTTTGGCCAACAAAGGCGAGACAGGACCTCCCAGGACTCCCCAAGCAGAAGGCTGACCCCAGAGAACGCGTGTGTGTGTGCCAGAAGTACGGCTTATTGCATGATTACCGCCAAGGATTTTTTTCGGGCCTCCGTTTTTAGGATTCTGTGCCCGGGAATAGCTGAGCAAACATATAAGCGTGCCAGAAATTGAAATTAAAGATGGAATTAAGTGCCGCGAGTGTGTGTGTGTTGGCTCAATAAATTGTATGTGCTAGTGCCAGTGAGTGTGTCTGTACACTAAAAAACCAAATATCAAGTATACGCCGTGCGGTCCAGCCTTGAGAAAGCTACGGAGAACAGCAACAGGTATGTGCAAGATATCATCTTATCTATTCACACACTGGCTTTTACACTCGGTGGTTAGTGGCTTTTGCAGGCTGGTTAGTATTTGTTTTGTCAGATTAATCTGGGTTGGGCAACTTTATAATATTTGAGGCTTTTGGCTCTTACATTTCAAAAATAATTTTGACAAAACTATATTTTTTTGATACGTAAAAGATATATATATATTTTCAATTTTGTTGAATTGGATATCCAATATTCTACATTTCAAGAAGAAAATATAAATTTAGGCCAGGCTAAGGCATCAACAAATATAAATGTGCACACTATGCCGACTTGCTTTTCACTTGGAATTTAAGAAAAATTCGGATCCTTTAAATGCCCCATAAAATATGTAGCAATTTCCCAGACTCGTATTTTCACCAGCCTTTTTTTCACAATCCGCCGCAATGTCTGCAAGTCATTTAGAAAGCCCTTCTCGCTATCCGCCAAATCCTAAGCCGCAACAACTCCGTGGCCTGCACTCCACTGTTAATTAATGCCAACCGGGTTTCCGCTGCAGCATATTTAAAAACGCATTAGGTCTTTTGGCCGCTTTAGCAGCCCAGGCTGTCATAATTCAAACCGAGCATTAGGAGCATAAAGAGCGCAAATATCCTTCGCACACACACACGCGGATATATGCAATGGAAAATTCTTGTAATTACTTTAAATGCAAACAAACGCGCTGCGCTGTTCTTTTCTGTAGCCGAACGAAGGATTTTCTTTTTGTCGGTCGGTGTCCTGGGTCGGCATGTGTTACTAATTTCATTTTGCCGACAGAGGAACAAAGTCGCAGTGGGTGGAATTTTCTAGTGGCTATACGCGTGTATGGCTAGTGCCATTAAGTCGGAGGAGTCACAGAACGTAACTTTCGTTCACGTCCAGGGATAGGGGAGATACTGCCATTTCCACACCTAACTGACACAACAGGACACTTGCAAAAATTAGAATTTATTTGGGAACAGGACAACTACACAGAAAATAGACCAATGCCTTACGAAAATATTTATTTTTTTAAGTTCTTTGCAATAAAAGTATTTTATATTAACTAAAAGATAAATATAAGCACTTGTTAAAAGTGCTGAATGTTCCTAAATCATGGGATGCTTTAACACTATAGATGCAGCTTAAAAACATTCGAATTCATAGAAATCGAACTTTATATTTGCTACTAAATTTGCAAGCCTATGTTGAACATTCAAAACTTTTGTGTATCCAATGGGTTCCTATAGAAAAGAATCCAAAAATTCCTGTGGCCCTGTCTAAACACATTATAACATAGAAAGAAACTTCTGCCCAGTTTACCCCTTTGCTATGCCATATTTCAAATGTCATATTTTTCCTAAGTGTAATGATGATGAGACCCACTGCCTCCCGCTGCCGGAATGGCCCATTGTTGTTTGTTGTTTTAATGTTATTTGCCTGGCTGCCATCGTCGTCTTTGGAATCTGTCACCGTTTTACGTGACAATACGGCTGCAACTTTGTGTCCTCCACTCGATGGGGCATGTTGCGAAGGTGTGGCTGTGCGACTGCGGTGGACCGCTGCGGTGGTGCGGTGGCTCATGAAGTGGGCGGCTCCCAGGTGCTTAGTGGGGATCCTGGGCCGCTCCGCTGACCCTAAGCCAGCTTGCTGTTGTCGCATTGCGTGGCTGCTTACCTGTGGCCTCACCTGACAAAACTTTAACACAAAAATTTCATTTAAAAGTTTCGCTCTCGCTGCCTTTTGCCTTCATTTGGACCTACGCCAGATGCTTAAAACTTTCTCGGCGACGGGGGAAAGGGAAAGGCAATGCGAATGGCAACGGCAGGGGCCTTTCTTTTATGGCAACTTTAGCAAATGGACATTGAGGTCGTTGTATGACTTTGGGTATTTTCTCCGTCATAAATATCGCTGGCAATTTCTCCTCGGTCCTCGGACACTCTATTAGCATTGGCGAGGAGTACTCACCTCCTGCTGTGGACGTTTTTAATGTCCCTTCTTTGAAGTTGGCGAAATTGTTGTGAATGTCCGCGCTGAAAGGAAAATGTCGGAACTTGCTTTTAAGTTCAAAGTTCTTGATTTACCTAAACTATTTTTAATGCCGAACCAACTCTACTCTCTGCTTTGTTATAATTAAAGTTAATTTTAAATTTTCAATTGCGTTTTGCGTTTTGCGCTTGGTGCCATTCCAGAAATTCTTGCTGTTTTTCCATTTGCATTCGCTGATATTGGTTTTTCGGTTAACGCCAAATAAACACAACCCAGTAAATGGTTAAACTGTGTTTTTTACTCGCATCTCAGCTGCACTTAATACGAATATTTATTTAACATCTGTTGTTTTCCCCTTTTGTTGTTATATTTGCAGTTGCGTGACTAATTAAACTGTTTAATTGCATAAATTAAAGCTACGATTGGCAATGCTGAACATTCTGTATTTGTTTGACATGAAAAGTTGAGCAAATATATCAAGCATTTGTTTGGAATTTAATGTGGGGAAAGGCATTATTGAATTAAATAAATAATTAAATTCAATAAGAATTTAAGTTTCCTGAAATAGAGGACAGTCATTTGCTGCAAGGCAGGAAGCTAATCAGCTTGACCATAAAGTTGATTTATATAATATTTTGATTGATCTAATGTAAATATTTATTTTACCAAGAAGACTTATTGATAGAACGAAAATTACATATGTAAATAAATGAATTCAAATGGTTTAAAGTCACATCTTTTCTCAGGATTGAAATTATATTTTGTCCCTTGGCTCTGTTCATCCAGACAGAATTATAATTTTTTTCAGAACATATTAATCAATCCCAAAGAAATTCGAGAATCGCCTACATTTGTTTTATATTTATTGACTGAGAATCGAAAGGGCCCCGGGTGCATTTCTTGTAAAACGACACCCTGTGAAGCACTCAAACTTAAATCGCTCCCTCCAGCCCAAAAGGGATCCTTTAAAGCACTGCCGTCGCTTCATGACGCAGTAAACACTTATTAGACGTTATAGCATGGGGAAAAGGACGAGGACGAGGCCCAGGACTCGGGACACGGAACACAAAACTCCGGACAGGGACCCCAGGCAATGGAGCGTGCTGCTAAGGAGTATTCAACTAATAAAAATGTCAAAACGCATGAAGCTGATGACAAGTAACGCAAAATGACAGCACAGTCGGCTGGCTGAATGGCAGGACTAACGTCCTTCCACAGAGAAAAACGTCTTACATTACTATTAATATTATTTTTGATTTTCTAAAACCAAATGGCGCTTATAAAATGAAATGTCAATCAAGATATAATACTTTTTTTACTAGTTATTGGAGTCGAGATAATCTTTCCTCACTTTTTCATAGATATACTAAGCAATTTGAATTTTTCGCTCTGCAGATTTCCGGTTTCGGGGGTGGAGAACAACTTGAATTCATGGCTTGTCGCATGCTGGCTTCGATGTCCCAGTGCGGGCAGCAATTTGCCACACCTGCCGGGAGTGTGTGTGTGTGTCTGTGAGGCAGCTTTCGCCACCCCACCACCCCGCGCCAGGTTTTCCACCCGCAATCCTAGGTTTTCCCCAGCTAAACTTTCACAATTAAAACTTGGCACTTTCCCTCGCTGGCTGCGCACGCACGATTCGCATTCTCGCATCGCAACGCAACGCTTCAATTTTGGTCCGCTGCCCCGCTGTTTGTTTATTGGATTAAGTAGATTTATCATATCAGATGGCAAACGCCGTCTAAATTTATCCCCAGCCAAACAGCCAAACAGCCTCCACCATTACAGAAACACATATCAAGAGCCAACGACTTCTCGTTTTTAATTACGCTGTTTTTTCCGCTGGCATCACGTACAAAATAAAGTAAAAAAAAGGAACAGAAAGAAATGCGTTTGCTGGCAAAAGTTTTCTTTGCTACGTGTCCTGCCAACAGGCATTTTCAATAAATTTTCCTATGCTCGTGGAATTAATAAAAACACAGAGAACTTTTGCACTTGGCCTGGCTGCAGAAGGTCAGAGCTCAGAACAGGCGATAAAAATAAGTTAAGACACTTTAAAACTTAAGTGAAGAATATATATCGAAGTACGACGAAACAGGAAATACAAAAAAACATAGAAAGCAATGTTTATCCTTTTAAGCTTCTTAAATATTTATGTACATATATTTTCATTTTGTCAATATTTTTTTTTAAATTATAAAATAGCCTTATGAATCTCTGATATCATAGATTCTTTTCTATTGATTTACTTAAAGCAACTTAATTTTAGAGTCATTGACAAAATATGGCACAAGCCAAAAGCGATATTTCCAATTGATTTCTCCGTGCCCCAGAATTAATTCTTGCTTCTTGGCAAAGGAGCTCAAAACATTTCGCTGAACAACTATAATTCATTCGCTCGCTTTCATGCGACGCGGTCGCACGACATCAAACACAGCGAACACGCGGCGTATGCGTCATATTAAGTATACGCCCCCGCGACACACGCTCTGTGTTGCTGGCCCCAATTTTTCTTGCGAGCTGCAGGCTCCAGGCTCGTCTGTTATTTAAACACAACAATTAAAACGATTTTCCCCAGCATACACATATACGCTTTCTTGTTGGTGCTGTGTTTATTTAGACGCAGGCATGTAGACATAACATTCAGTCCAGGAGCAGGAACAAGGAGCACAAAACTCTGGCTGGGGCAGAAACAAATTGAATGAACACGCGCCCCGAAAAGCGTTTAATAAACACAAAAGCAACAGCGGCAGCAGCAGCAAAAGAAACAGGAACTTAGGCCCGAAAGCGAATCTTGACTGTGGCTGTGGCCCCCTTTTTTTTGGCCCCGGCTTAATGAAATGTAATGATGAGGGGGCGGCCCCGGGCTGGAGGAGGGGGCGTGGCAGGGACATCTAGGACCATAAAGAAAATGGAAGGAGAAAGTGAGAAAATGGCAGGCCTAGACAGCAGTTTTGATGTAAACTGGAAGTGTAACAAATAACAATGGCAAACTGCGTGGAAACAACAATAGA